TATCCGTTAATGCAAGTCTGCGGAGGCCTTCTACGTTTTTTTTTCGGGGATCAGGATGGCGTCATCCAGGCCCATCCAGCTCCGAAGGGCTCCGTCATCACTGAACGGTACCAGGATGATCCGATCCAACAGAAACTGCGACCTGACACCCAGCGGAAACGGCCGAGGGAGGCCAACAGCAACTTCAAGCTCTACCAGGACAACGTTCCGCCCTACAAAGCTTGTGCCCCGGTGGACTTGCAGTTACAGGGACAATCGAAACGCTCTCGCACCTTCGCTTCTCCCCAGACCTGGCCCTGTCAGACTTCTGGCAGTTTAGCAGTCTGAGTGACTGTCTTTGCGGTCGTTGCGACCCATCCAGGAGGGCGCTTGGAACTGCCATGTTGCAGCACAAGAACCCGTCCCCTCCGGCAGGAAAAGGTTCCCTTAGAGATATCAGAGCGCGATGAAGCGGTGGGAATGGTGTCTGAAGAAGGAGGGAGACCACATTCGGAGTGGCGAAAATTCATCACTTAGCATTCACAAATACATTTTGAGAGCAGGGCTGCCTCTTATCTTTGAATTGCATCTCAAAATTTGGGTGATAGCTGAAGGGAGATTAGTGTACGGGAGGCTGCAACCACCATCTATTTGAATTTTATGAAGGTGATGCTTCGGTTTATCTCAAAATAGGTTTGGCATGATGACGATGCTTTGTTTTAGACAGGCATGAGCATAAGCGAGCGGACGTCTCAGAAAGTGGGGGTGCCAAAGCCTTTCTTGAAATCGATTCTCTCCATTCGCCGCCAGAGGAGTAATCTTCACCTTTCTCGGAACGTTGGGTCACATGACACCCCCAAACCTTTACCCAGTTTCTGAGCCGATGTGTACGAACAAAGGCAGAATGGTGCTATATTGGTGGAACAAGTGTGTTTATTCCAGGTCTTTTGCCGCTCTTTTATCGTCCATGCCATGATCGTGCATTCATTATCCCAACATGCCTCTGTGTATCCCTATCAAAATATAACATACGCAAAGTTAGACAGCTTCTTAAAAAGTGGCACTATTCATTCTGGTATGGTAATTAAATCTGACACATTTCCACGGACCACTTCTTGACGAGAGGCCTTGGTCGGTAATGAAATAGGCCGCAATGTAGCAATCCTACACTGCCGCTAATATTACCTGGAGGACGAGCCCCGACGATACGTGAGGACCCGTACACAGGGCTATAAATGGTCGCACCCTGAACAGCACCAAAGCATATTGCGCACTTCATTGTGTTTCCTCCCAACCTCATGTGTATGCATGAGAGTCAGCCACTGGTGACAAGGTATAACTGGTTTGACTCTATCTCTATTTGCAGTTCTGCAGTTCTTATCTTAAGGCACGTTTTGCGAAATGGACGCGGTGGGTTGAAGAGTTTCAACCAAAGGTGAACTTTGCTGCTAACTGTATGTTTCCTCCTCTGTTGCCGACACGGAAACAGTATATGTGCTTTGTATACCTCTGTAATCTTAAAGGGTACCTAAATCCATTAAATAACAGGGTTTGTATGCAACGAACATTGACATGCATTGCCTTTTGCCTTACATGACGCCATGTCTTTTACGTTGTCAACATTTTCAAAGACTTTATGTGTCGCGAGACTGCCTAGTTTCCTTGAGTGGAAGGCTTTATGTGAGCATTATTAGAAATTACAGAGCATCAGCCCACACAGCGAGGTCTAAACATAAGCACTCTGGCTATTTGTAAGAAATCGTCGGCTGGGGTGGTGGCACATCAAACGCAAGAATCATGTCGGAGTCTGCCTGGACAACGAATCCGCGCATGTGTTCAAAAGACTGAGACTAAGATTGCTTTTGTTCATGTCATGGCTGATTATTTTGGAGGTGTCGGCACGCCGTCGATGGCGCGCCAAAGGCGGCAAGGCAGAAATCGACACCAGGCGACAAGGGAAGGGGGATGAGAGAAAGTGAGATGGAAGTCGTTGCCACGGGAAGGAAGAAACGCCATAACCATTGGTCCAGAACACCCCAATCACCTAAGAGAGAATTCTGCAAACAGTGCCTGTGGTTCCACACAGCGGGAGCAGTCAGCCGCGCCGCGCCAGCGGTCCGTCCGTCCGTCCGTCCGTCCGCAGCGGACCGGTTCGTTAGCGGGCCCGTGCTCAGCAAATCTGACCGAGCGTGTTGAGCGCGCCGCAGGACTCGTTGCGGCCTGCCAGCAGCTGCTGATAGGGCGAGTCTCGTGACGCGCTGTCCCTGCTGGGGAGAGATGTTCGCCCAAGGATGGGAGCAAGCCGTGGCCGACCGCACGCGCACCACCGGCACACGCAGAGGTGGTCTGCGGCACTGGCCGGCCTGGGGCGATAGTTGATCAGGAGCAGGGGAGGGTCGCGTGCAGGCACCCACCGCCATCAGATATGGGATGAGCGATGAGAAAGTTTCAATGATAGAAAGGTGGTACGGATTTCCCCGGTGAGACCTGCGTGGTATTTTACTCTCTGCACTAATGCAACTCGTTATCCATTGAAATCGTGATTGATGCCGTGTTGCTGCAATTTTAAGCCTCTGAGTCACCACATGCGGAAAGCGCCCGGGGCCGGAAGTAAGAAGATGAAACATCAAAGAGTAATGCGCTCTATTGATGGGCGAGCCCAACAATACCTTTCACGCACGAGCGCAAGACAAATGCTTATAAACTTCTTTTCGCTAGTTCATTCTATTAATGATGCGCTCTATTGATGATCCAGCCCAACAATGCCTTTCACGCACGAGCGCAAGACAGATGCTTATAAACGTCTCTTCGCTAGTTCATTCGCCCGTTGGCGAATCCCTGCCAGCGAATATCATTGATTATTTCCCATCGCTTATCCCATATCTGATGGCGGTGGGTACCTGCACGCGACCCTCCCCTGCTCCTGATAAACCATCGCCGCAGGCCGGCCAGTGGCCGAGACCAGAGCAACATTCATTTAGGAACACACTTGTGACACCTAGCCGTATGTTTACCCCGAGGGAAAAATCGCAGTGATTTATTGTGGACCTCTCCGTTTGGTGTCTGAACAGGGACTTGATGTGACGTGGATTATCTTGCATTTTTTGGGCACCACCCCAGATAATTAAGTCGTAAGTTTTAAGCTTGTGCGTCATTCAGGAGCAAAAGGGTAACTCGTTCTGCCACTCAAGGCGTTCGGGTCCACAGTCGGTCAGCCGCACACAAGTCAAACAGAGCACACGTGCGTTTTTTTAACACGTTCCCTAAATACTGCGCAGCTCGATAGCTCCCAGCTAACCGCACATCGCCAACGTGCGCTCTTGGGAACACGTCCCCCAAACAATGCGCAGCTCGATCGCTCCCAACTACCCGCACATCCAAACAGCCCATAAGGTTACATTCGCCCGTCTTCCCTTCGAAGGGACCGCACGTCTTGAGGTGCGAACTGGTCCTCCCGACCGACACAGAGACCCGAACCCTGGACAGGCATTATGGCAAGCCGGTTCTAAAGCACTCATAGTCCTGTCATGAAATAGTGAAAACCGCGCACAACTCAGTTTTAGGGCGGGATGGGCTACCCCATCGTTGCTCGTTTCATGCGTGAAGAAACATTGTGGCTGTGATACCAGGCACTCAGCACACCGTTGCGGTATTCCGTTAGGGCGCACAGGGGCAGCATGCTAACCTTCTTCGAACCCACATCAGGGGACTCTAATCCCTTCCATGAACCCTACATACATTCATTACCAAACATGGCTCCAATGATTTCAAATATGGTCATTGGTGGACAAATATGGTTCAATTATGGTTGGTGTGTGCCTCAATCTCAACAGAGATTCCACATCCCTTAACGTCATTGGTGGGCGTCTTGGGATACTGGATTCATTTCATCCAGGTGCATCGCTGTGCGCAAGCCTGATTTGCGAGCCTGGATCCTCGATGCCATGTGCCTCATGACCTACGACGTTGACCTCAGATCAGAGATGGCATTCGGAGATGGCGGTCCGTACAAACCGAGCGGCGCTGCAGCGATGAGCGCAATCACTGTAGCTCTGAGGCAGACGGCAAACACTAGTCTGATCGCCATAGGTCTGGGGCAGACGGCAAACACTAGTCTGATCGCCATGGGTCTGAGGCAGATGGCAAACACTAGTCTGATCGCCATAGCTCTGGGGCAGACGGCAAACACTAGTCTGATCGCCATAGCTCTGAGGCAGACGGCAAACACTAGTCTGATCGCCAGAGCTCTGAGGCAGACGGCAAACACTAGTCTGATCGCCATGGGTCTGAGGCAGATGGCAAACACTAGTCTGATCGCCATGGGTCTGAGGCAGATGGCAAACACTAGTCTGATCGCCATAGGTCTGAGGCAGACGGCAAACACTAGTCTGATCGCTATAGCTCTGAGGCAGACGGCAAACACTAGTCTGATCGCCATGGGTCTGAGGCAGATGGCAAACACTAGTCTGATCGCCATGGGTCTGAGGCAGATGGCAAACACTAGTCTGATCGCCGTAGGTCTGAGGCAGACGGCAAACACTAGTCTGATCGCCATAGCTCTGAGGCAGACGGCAAACACTAGTCTGATCGCCATAGCTCTGAGGCAGACGGCAAACACTAGTCTGATCGCCATAGCTCTGGGGCAGACGGCAAACACTAGTCTGATCGCCATAGCTCTGAGGCAGACGGCAAACACTAGTCTGATCGCCATAGCTCTGAGGCAGACGGCAAACACTAGTCTGATCGCCATAGCTCTGAGGCAGACGGCAAACACTAGTCTGATCGCCAGAGCTCTGGGGCAGACGGCAAACACTAGTCTGATCGCCAGAGCTCTGAGGCAGACGGCAAACACTAGTCTGATCGCCAGAGCTCTGGGGCAGACGGCAAACACTAGTCTGATCGCCAGAGCTCTGAGGCAGACGGCAAACACTAGTCTGATCGCCATGGGTCTGAGGCAGACGGCAAACACTAGTCTGATCGCCAGAGCTCTGAGGCAGACGGCAAACACTAGTCTGATCGCCATGGGTCTGAGGCAGATGGCAAACACTAGTCTGATCGCCATAGCTCTGGGGCAGACGGCAAACACTAGTCTGATCGCCATAGCTCTGAGGCAGACGGCAAACACTAGTCTGATCGCCATAGCTCTGAGGCAGACGGCAAACACTAGTCTGATCGCCAGAGCTCTGAGGCAGACGGCAAACACAGGTCTAAATCGGTTTGGTTGTATATTGAAGCGGTGGCATAGCCATAAGTGACTCAGTGTACTTAAATCAAGGGACGATTTGAGTGAAATAAAGGGAAGCCTATGCAAACACATGATAATGTCTCACGCCAAGTGCCTTAAAAGTCGTGGTTTACGTGCATGTTTCTAGAACAACAATGCATTATGCAATGCAACCATCGTGTGGACATCCACGACCGTCTATACTGCAGACGGCATAGTCGTGCTCCTTCGACGTTGGGACACCGCTGTGGGCGGGATGGAAAACGAATGCCACTGATTGTTTGCAATTTAATGTCTTCAAAAATGTTTTCTTGTCGTTGAAGTACAGGTTGTCTGAGTATTTGTAAGGTGACTATAGTGAGCCAAATGTCAGTGAAAGAAAACGTGCATGTGACCAATAAAACCTATGCCCAAAGATCCTGAGTGTTCGTGATGGAAACACTACTGTGCAAGGTAACATGAACATCACTCAGTCCTTTAGAGTTATACGAATGGGCACCCACCTGGGGCGTCGCACCCTTGTCTGGTCAGACCGCCATATAACATCCACCGTTCGTATGACCACCGTATGACCACCGACCACCATCGCATGACATCAGGTGTTCCGCCGGCAGATTCTGACCTGGAAGAGTTCAGCCAAGATCGCCGGTACCGGCCCAAGGACGTTATCACCCTCTCCAGCAGCACGCACTTCTCGCCGCACGAGGTGAAGCGCATCTACCGCGGCTTCAAGGTCGAGTGTCCCATGGGCGTGGTCGGCGAGGACGACTTCAAGGAGATCTACTCGCGGTTCTTTCCCAGGCAATGTAAGGAACCCGCGTTGCTCGCTAGCATTCTAGCCAAGCAGCCCAGCAAAAGACTGGGGGACAGTGTCTGTGTGTAATGCGGTGTAGGTTTACTGTGTGGCGGGGAGGAATTCACCGTGAGGTAGTTCAAAACTTACTGGTTCGACCTGGGCTGGTTTGGCGACAATGGTTGGTGAGGATTCTAAAGTTATGGCATAGGGTATGCAGAGTCCCGAGGCCTGTAGGTCCTGTAGGCCTATAGGTCCTATTTGCTTCGCTGTCTGCGCCACTTCATAAGCCCTGGAATGGAATGTCGTATATGAGGTGCGTTCACGCAGAGACACCGGCTTCCACCGATGCTAGGGAGTAGCGACCCCTCGAGTCCCAGCGCCGGTAATGAGTGGGCGACGTAAGCCGCCCATTTCAGAGACTGGCGACCCTGCCGGTACGCGAGCTCCAGCTTGTTGTCCCGCCCGTTCCCTCCTCGTCACCCGCCTTCCGCATCCCACCGTCTCACCTTTCTTTGTCCTCGTTTAACCGGTCTCGCTTTGTCTCCTCACCCGCGCTCAGGGTTGACCAGGTCCTGGTGGCTGCGGGGTGCCTTGCGCGAGTCAGCCGCGGCGTTAAACTGGCCTCGCGCTCATGCTGCGGCTCGGTGCTGCTCGTGGGCCTCCGCTGGGGCGCCTGGCCGCTCGCAGTGGGTTCAGGAGTACACGGGCCGAGGTGCTGAACCGCGGTCAGGACGGGCAGGAGCTTTCCCGGTTACACCCGGCCGGGTAGGAGGTGTCGTTCGCTCCGTAGTGCACCAGGGTGGTCCTGGCGGTGTCCAGCCGTCAATGTACCCGGCTTCAGTGGCCCTGCCCCTGCTCCCGGATCTTGGTTTTTCATAATGACAATAAGGCTCTTTCACCTCCATCTCCGTTCCAACGTGGAACTGAATGTGGTCGCTTCAGCACTGTGGTGTGATGCGATAAGCTTCGAGACGGCGGCATTGAAGTGGAATGTATAATGGAGTGGAAGTCGAGCGAGCGATGGGGCTACACGGTTAGTGTACAGCGTGCTGGACGCGGAGGATAAGCGAGAGGTGGCGCTCGTTTCAAGAAAGGAGGTTCATAAGACCAAGGACTCGGCTGATGATATTACCAACTGTTTTGACTCGGAAGAGGTGAGCGAGACGAGATTGTAGAAGATCTGACAGAGTTTGGGGTCACCGAAGCTCGACTGGTCAAGATGTGACAGGGCAGCGATCGGATATCAACAAACGACATTAATTTTACTTTTAACAGAACCACAAGGCATCGGGGCAAGCTACACCAGGATAAAAGTGCGTCGTATTCTTCGCAACTCCCTGAGACGGACGTCGGAGGTTTGGCCACACGACAGGGACTCCCCTCAACCAGGCTGTCTGTGACAGATGTGCCTCACTGGACAATACAGTAGAGCAGTGCGCCGGCCGAAGACCTTGGTGCATTAAGAGTGACAAGAATCCGTATCCTCATTCCACGTCCCTGCCCAGTCGACCCGAAGGAGAGGCAAATTATCACGCTTAAATGCACTAGGTGGACATCATTCCGCGAAGCAGAGACCTGTAGGAGGAGAGTCACCCAGCGATCAGTTGCGCTACAGAGACCAAGACTCAGGTCCCGCAGGACTCCGATGGACCCAACGACTGCCACAGACCTCATCTAGCTTCTGAGGCCTTTTGGCTGCTCGATAGTGGCGTCGTCTCCGCAACGCAGTTGTCTCTTCTTCAAGCGCCTCAACGGAGCCGTGTTTGGCATCTTTGGGCAACCCCATGGCTGCGTCCCGGTGGTGTCGACGGGTCGAGAGCCTGGTCGCCGGGTGGAGCCCTACCCCTTCCCGCGCGTCGGAACGCTCGGCATCCGCCGTCCTGCCGACCCCAACAGCATCGTCGAGTGCGCTGACGGAGGGGTGGACGGAGGCCCGGTGCAAGAGAGGTCCGCAGGCTCCTGCCGGCCTTACCGTGCGACGCCCCGCCGCCCTCCTCGTCTCCAAAAACCTTGGCGGGCGCGCCTGAATAAACGCCAGACACCTGAGCGCCGTGAAGCAGACAGGCGCGCCTGCGACGCTGCTCGGGTGCACCAGGCCGAGCAGGAGCGGGCCAAAGAGTCCATCAGATTGACATGGACGGGTAACGAGCCCCCCCCCCCCTCCCCCACGAGCAACACTCCCTCTCTACGAAGGCCGGTAAAAGTTTCAACCCGGTACTACAGGTGACGGGCAGGACTCGCCAGTAGACTTTCCCCGCCACCAGCCTGGACTGGGTATGTCGGCGCCAGGCATGTCCCGTACAGGCATATTTTGGAACGGAACGGAACGGAACGGAACGGAACGGAACGGATCATGTCTGTGATGATCATGTCATGTCATCCTAAGTCTGAAGTGTCTCGCACTGTCTCTGACGCAGCGCAGCTCTTTCAAATCTGGTCGTGTTTTGCTGTGTGATCTTTTATCTTCCATTTAACCCGTCCATTTCCAGATGCTTTTACGGCGGAACTGGAGTGGAGTATGGGCTAACGCGTACGGCTGCCGGCTGCAGACAGAGATGTCTAACAGCCGCAGCGTTGCAGGAAACACATTTGGCGTCGAACTCTCATTTCGCGTAAAAGGCAATTCAATTTTCGGTAGGGACGTGCCAGCTGACACGGCTGCGCACGGTGGTGACCTCCTGGCAATGCTCCACTGCGTGTCAGTCCAAACGCTGAAGTTGGAACTGCCGCTACAGACTGTAGCACGTGACCATATCCACAGCCGTGGTATTACAGTGGACTTGCTGCACCTGCCATCAGGTGCTTAATGCTTAATGTGCGTCAACTGGATACAGGTTACACATAAGAAATAAGATGTGGCGGTGATGAAAACACGCTAAGAGAATGAGGAAAGCCCTCAAAGTCAAACAAAATCCTTTTTCACATTGGTCAAATTTAGATATGGGCACAGCACGGCTCTGAGAGTCATGACGATCGGTGGCAGGTGGCTCCAGGACGCGGCCGCACGATATGAAAACGCCCTACGCGACCCAGACAGTCGGAAAGGGGGCAGCTCCAAAGCGGCGGCCACCGCCGAACTCGTGATGCGCTCGCTCACAGCGGTCCGGGGGGGGGGGGTGAACAGCGACCGGACCGCCACCGGGGCACGAGGGGCGTTTAGGGCCCTGAAGGCGCCAGTGCGGACGCGGCGCGTAGCAAGGTCACTCATGCCGCGCCAGCCCAGCGACTGCACGACCGATGAAATATGATCTCGACCCCGCACCCCCGGGACGATCTTGGCCGCGAGAGCTATGACCTTTCGCACCTGGCGGAGATAGCACGCGGCGGCCGCGCCCCAGACTGACGAGCAGTTAAGGATCTCGGGAAAACATGGGCCTCGATGTGAAGTTTTCGGGTCTCAGAAAGGAGATGATACCGAAATATAATATATATATATATATATATATATATATATATATATATATATATATATATATATATGTATAAATTACAGCCTTATTCCTCGCATAATAACCATGATAACAGACAGATAAAGGCATTTATGTTTCGGCTACATACCTACATCGAAACGAATGTCAGTAGATGATAAGAGGTGGTTCACTACCCCCTTCCTTATCCCAGTGTGTTCCTCAGGGGATCTGGTGAGTCCAATCCTCTTAAGCACTTTCACGAAGGACCTTCCATTCTATTTGCTCCACAGGGGTCCTAACGCAAATGCTCGACTCAGCCCAGCCCGACCACTAACGACCAACCAAAATCAGGCATCTACTGATATTCGTTCCGATAAAGGCATGTAGCCAAATATCAATACATATATCTGTCGATTCTTCTGGCTGCTCTACCAGGAATAAGGCTATTAATGCAGTCTGATATATAATTATATATATATATATATATATATATATATATATATATATACTACACTACTACACACACATAGATATATGATATATATATATATATATATATTATATATATATATACTATATATATATATATATATATATATATATATATATATATATATATATATGTATACTTATTCACATATATCACTCCCGGTGTCTTCATGGACGGCGAGGGGTTAATATTAAACCGAAGATGTTAGGTTGACAGGATAAAGTTTTTGATCCCCAGGGACGTGCCGTTCAGTGGTCTTGGTGGGTTCACCTTCAGGGCATTGGCAGTGAAGTAGGATAAGAGGGTAAGAATGGTTTCCTCCATTCGGGATTTTAGGGTGGGCACATAAGTGGTCGGTTTGTGCGGAGTCAAGGAGTTGGGTATCATCGGGTTAGGAAACCAGCCGCCGGTGATGCAAATAGGACGGTGTTTGTTCGTGAAGACGCTGAAGAAGATTTGATCCATCGGGGTCCCCGAGGGACACCTTGGAGCCAGCTTTCACCATCTGCCGCCGTCCATCAATGTAACCTTGAAACCATCGTGGTTCGATACCGTGCCGCTGCACCCTGATCAGGATCAGGCCAGGTCAGGTCAAGATGCTCTGTGGGAGCTTTAATCACGATGCTTATTTATGTGCTTTAAACAACGGACAGCCAACGCGTTTTGTTGTTCTTTGCGGACGTGTATCGATTCTTGATCTCAGTATTTCTGGCCCACGACGTATGGAGTATCCGAAGCGGGCGGTGGCCGATGATCCGCTTGGGAGCGACTATTTCCCAGTTTGGCTGAGATACCGCAGTGTGGCAGCTGGCCGCGGCTTTGAAATTTTAATAAGGTTGACTGCACTGGCTTTGAAGCTCGACTTGAAGCATCATTTTCGGCACATTCCGGCAGTGTGCTCACCTCTGCAGAGGGGCTTGCAGCCCTGGTTTTAGAATGTGCTGACAGGTGTATTCCCTGCACTTTAGACGCTCCGCATCATACAACCGCTCCGTCACAGACGCATGAGTGCCGTGACGCTACCCGTCTCTCACACAAACGAGCTTTTCCGGCTTACGATCGCAGAAGAAGCACGACCAGCCTGCTTGCGTTTAAGAAAGCCAGGGCGTTCGTCCATTGTACAATCAGGGAGGTTGAAGCGCACTGTGGAGTGAGTACGTTGGTACACTAACCTGTCTTAAAACTACTGCCCAGGTCCGGTCACGGATGAAGCGGATTTCCGGGCAGTTCTGCTGCACTCCATTCCTTGTTTTGCACGTAAACGACCACGTCATCCACCCAGGAGATGTTGGAAGCGGAGTTGGCCTTGCGATTTTGGAGAGCGGCAGCGGCATCAGCGCGGAGCGACGGGTCGATTGTCATCGCATGCTCCGCGAGGAAGTCCGCACATATCTTTCCAGTACCGAACGCATGCGCACACTGAACCTTTCACCCTCACTGAATCAAAACATGTCATCAGCACGCTGCAGAGTTTTGAAGAGGGTCCTGATGGTGCGCACAGCATGCTTCAGCACGCTGCAGAGTTTTGAACAGGGTTCTGATGGTGTGCACAACATGCTTCAGCACGCTGCAGAGTTTTGAAGAGGGTTCTGATGGTGTGCACAACATGCTTCAGCACGCTACAGAGTTTTGAAGAGGGTCCTAATGGTGTGCACAACACGCTTCAGCACCTTTGTCATAGCACGATGGAGGTTTTGTTGGGCAGTTCTTAATTTACTCTGGGAAAGTGGCAGCTTTCCAACCTCTTGGCGGGAGGTCGTTGTAGTCTCCCTTTTGACACAGGGAAGAGTGGTTCAGATCCTTTACACGTCACTCCATCGCGCTGATATCGTCACTCTGTAGCACCGGATCGAGCTAGAAAGAAGGTGACGCTTTGTTGGATTCCTGGCCACGTTATCGTCCTCGAAAACAAGTCAGCGGACCCCACTGAAAAATGCGCTTCACATGCACCATGTACACGCACATTGCTGTTATCAGCATGCCATTTTGCCCACTTTTCTTTTCACCTTTTTTCAACGCAAGTGGCAGCACAGGTGAAATAGGGGAAGAAGTGACGAACTTAACTCTATACAATGCAAATTGGGCCTACGATTTTCCAGCTCGGGGCAGGCAAGGCGAGAGGAGGTTATGGTTTGCAGGTGGCGTTTCAAGCACACGTATGGCACTCACAGGTCCCTGCTGTGTGGCGGTGACAGACCCAGATGTCCACGGCATCTTGTGTTTCTTCAAGTGCGCCATGCGATTCGATCGTGTCTACATTTCGCCTGGGAACGTTTGCGTCACTTCGGGTGAAATGCTCCGTCACTTAGGTCACGCGACATCCTGGGCGACGGCTCGCGCCAGCCCTTTGTTGGCAGCCGCTCTCAAGTCTTGCAGACATCAGATTTGGCCCCAGATATGCATTACCGTGGGTCCAATGTGACCGCAGACGTCGCCTCCTCCCAATAAACGGCACCAATGCAGAGTTCAATGTCTGTCGACCACGCGGGGCGGGGAGTTCCAGTTGTTAACTGTCACACACAGAGGAGGCCGTCCATTTTGATCCCTGCCGCAGACTGAAGCTTGTTATTTTTCCAATAGTGACCAACCTTTGTGCTAGGAGCAGTTGCTTTGTGAAGAAGCCTTTCGGGTCAATACCAGCCCCCGAGTGCAGGAACTAATGCAATGTGGTGAGGACGTCGGGTGCTATCGTTAGGACCGACCAGGTACGCGGATCTTCTCGAGACAGGGCGCAGCTCTAATGGTCCGCACCAGGCCGGTTTTTCGTCGCTGGACGAGGTTCACTAGCCTCTAGTCTGAACAGTTGCACCCCCACCCCACCACCCGCTCCCCACTGCACTCCCATTCTCTGGCGAGCTCGCACAAGGGTTTCGGACATGGGCATGGCGGTCTGATCGATAAGCTGGAGCGTTCCGCGGGACGAGAGACCAGACCTGGACACCTTCAGTGTCGCGACAGCTGCTCGTTTGCAGAGCTTCATTGCGGTGTCCAGCTGTGTCCGGTGTCCAGGGTCGCGCTCGACGGTCGTTGTCTCTCGCATGGCACAGGCTTCCGGAAAATTTGCTCCCGGCAGTACACCGTTAAACACAGCGAGGCTTTGCTGGGTAACTGCCATATGTCGTACCGCGCAGCCACCGCAATAATGTCCGTCGGCGGCGGCAGCCCGGAGCCTGGCGTCGGCTGCGGTCGGCTTTGTTGGGCACTGCGCAAGGCCCGGTATGCCGCTAACGCATCTGACGGGAGACGGCGGTCCGAGCGCGATCCCCTAGGAAAACCGCTACCGAATAGACGACCCCGCTGAAGTTGAGGAACAATGCACCCATTAGGTTTCTGATTTTCCGCAGCCCTGATGCAGTCCTTCATCTTTGACAGTACGTTATGTTTCACGTCGGCCATTGTGCCTGAAACCACGCCCATCGCCGTGTTTTTAGTGGTTCAAAGCCAGTTGGCCATAAGACCTTGTATTTGACGATTGACCCCATGATCTTGCAAAATATGGCACCTAAGCGACCTACGCGATAGCTTCCAGTCCAACGAGTCCGAAAGCTTAGCAAAATGTCAAGTTGGTAATCTTGCTGTATCATCGAGCGGCATGTGACCGCGCCGGGGGCGACCGGTGCTGTGGAACTATTGGGTCTTCGTTTGACCAGCTTCTTTTCAAAAACACGTGAAGCGACGAGCGCTTCCTCCTGGTCAGAGTTCATTGACGTGGACATGTTTATACAATGTTCCATGCAAGATAGCATGCACACGAATAGAGTGGTAAGGGGGGCGGTGCTGGTAGAGTAGTTAAGACGCTCGGCGCTGTAACCGTCGGGTTTGTGTTCGAGCCTCTGCCACGCCTCCACTGCATCCCACATGAACCCACTGGCCTTTTGAAAGCATCCGTCTCGAAGTTGCTGTGGCAGTCGGGGAGACGTACACCCCCAACCAACGTTATGAACGGAAATTAGGTATGGTCTCTACTCGCCACTCACGCATGTTTGGTAGGTTGGCAGGAGGTGTTGGTAGAATTATTTACCTGGCCTACACTGGGCTTGAACTCGACGCAGTGCAGTCGTTAACAGCTTCGTCGGAAAACACCGCCGCCTGACAACGCTAGCCGACCCGCCAGCGGACGTGCATCCTCGTCACGCGCGTGGGTGGCGAGCGCTTGCCACGCTTCTGGACGGGTACTTGCCGAACATCTCCATCGATGCTTATGAGTTTCGACGTGAAGCCCGCGAGTGTTGGATGGTAAATAATCGATATGTAAACGAATGCGTTGCCGCACAAAGTTTCGAAAACTTCCACCTCTCTCGCGCATGCAAATTACTGACAAATGGCAGAGATATCTGAATTCCAAGTTATTGCCACCGCGTGGCCAGTATTAAATAACTTTGAGAGTTCGCGCATTCAAAGTGGACAGTCAATGCCAGCCGGCTGTTCGGGCCAGTCTGCATTCACCATTTGACTCACACCGCCCCTGTTGCAGCAAACTCCAGCTTGTATGCCCACTACGTGTTCAACACATTTGATGTGGATTCTGCCGACCCGGTGATCACCTTCGAGGTGAGCTCGGCTGGCAACAGGCTTTACACAAGCTATTGACATAACGATGGAGGGACCGACATTCCGCTGGCCTTTCGCATTCCAGTTGTTGATAGTTACAAGATGGAATCTGTATTAATTGAAGATCATAAATAAATGAATAAGTTGGTTCAAAGGCATGATACAATGACGACAGATAAATGCATACGTGACCTGTGCACGGCTCGTTGGCTGAAGCAAGTTGGCACGCTGCCTGACGCGTGATTTTGGCGTTATCTTATGGCACCCGTCGTGGTCGCCGGCGGAGATGTCCTCAGTAAGTACTTAGTCTTGGATTGTGTCCCGCAGGAGTTTTTGAAGTGGTTATCCCGACTATGCCGGGGCACGGTAGAAGAGAAGCTGCGCTGGATGTTCCGCCTGTACGACATCAACAACGACGGCAGGATCACCCGCGGGGAGATGACGTCAGTGTTCATCAGCATCTACGCCCTGCTGGGGGGTGTCACGCTGGGCATGCTCCAGGACGACTCGGTCGTCTCCACAAAAGTAGACGACGTCTTTCAGGTAAGCAAAGACAGGAACACTTGCGTGGTAAACATTAACTAAAGAGGACGGGTATTGTGCCGTCTTCACATGTCGCCGCAAGACAAATTCTTGATTTAAGGTCTTCGTGCCCATGTCTTTCAGGTAACTGTAAGAAAAATGACACATAAAATTATGGCAGCAATGACATAACAATAGCATATCAGCATTCATCAATTCAACCTATTGGTAGTGCTTGATCTCATTTTCAAGCGTGTTTTCTTTCAACTGATTCCCCTTTTTTATTGTTTGCATTACTGCAAGTGGTTGCATTGCCGTGAATATGCTATTTCGTTTGCTTTGTGTGGCATTGTAACTGTAAGGAGATTAACAAACTGCAATTTGAGCCAAAAAGATGGCTTCAAAAATGTCTTTAGCATTCCAGGCTTACAATGAATGCAATGCAACTCGGGACCAAAAATATAGCTTCATTGCATTCAACACGGTATGCGATGAAGCTATTCAATCTTATTCTCTGGGATACGAAACCAGGTATCTCTGATTAAACCAGTGTTTTTGCTTCGTATCCACCAGGATGTCCCAGAATTTATGACAAAACCTTTTTCCAAAAGCATGGCTGCTGGGGGCTAGTCTGTTTTTTCAAATCAAGGCAATTTTATATCTGACACCCAATCAAAAATCTGATTTGTTTGATAGTGCGCAAGGATATTTGAGCTCGGTAGTTCCAAGCTATTTTTGCCGCGAGAGAGCCAGCAAGGCGCGTGACGTTAGCGATGCTGAAAAGCCGCTATGGGTTTGATGCTGCCGTCTATGCCGGTGGCGAATTATTATGACGATGCGGCGCAATTAATAAGTATATAATATAATGATAGGAAATAGCGTTGCTGGACATGGAAGATGAGCCCTCTTTGCTATCATTCCAGCTCATTCTGATCGGGACTAGCCAGTGGCTAGCAAGCCAATTGATGAATAGGAGGCCAACAATGGGTATCGATTTCATCGAGATTTTGAGAGTTGTGCAAAAGTCACACATGACTTCGCAGAGAGGCATGGATCAATGGTTAACATTTTTTGTAGACATGGCAGCCAGCGAAAAGGCTCAAAAGATGGAAACCCACTAACAGATCAGCATATTGATAACCCACGTGTGCCAGGTCCACTTCGCTGTCTAGTGACGCGCCATATCCAATGTTTTCATAGCAATTATTTTGCGGAATAATGATGTGACGTGAATGATTGCGGGTTAGGTATATCTTTTTATTGACATGGCTTGACGATTTTTCTCTTTGGGGTAGGTCCGACAGAGGGCAGAAACGTCGAAATGAAGTCAGTTAGAGTAAAATAGAAGTCAAATGAGTCCACGTAACAATGTATGCCCACCCATAGAGCGTCTATCGTGGCAAGGGTTCGTTGATAGACATTTTGACGCAGCTTTAAATCTCTTAATTTTACATAGTGCTGTCCCCCTCCCCCTCCAAGTCTAGCCCCTCCTCAGTCAAGTGTCACACCAGCTAGCTGTTACGGCCGAAAATATGGGATCGCCATTTTAAGACAGCGTCAAAAACTTTGTTTCAAGTGTGCAAGTCGATGATAATGTCAATTTTTGTACCGCTTTGTTAGCTTCCTCAGATCAAAAATGGTTTATACAGACATCTAAAAATTAGGCCAACAAACAGCCACATGGGCCCATCGAGTTTGGCCTACCATAGACTCCTCAACATCCTTGAACCAGTCTTACCACCTGACCTGCCTGAATGTAGCTGTAAATGGGATCCTCAGACCTACGGAAATTGTCCAAACAATTTTTAAATATTGGTTGGTAGGGACTTCCCACAACTTTGTTTGGCAGTCCATTCTAATAATTCACTTCTCTTTGACTTAATTATATTTGCCTTCCCATAATTCTGCTCCTACCTTTTGCTAATTGAAACTGGTTTCCTCTAAGTTTCGGCCCAATTTACAGTGCTCCTTGGAGATATACACTTTCATAGCCTTGTATACCTCTATCAGACCCACTTTAAGTCCACGATATTTTAGTGAATACAATGCCTTAAGCCTATTTCTAGATTCTAAGCCGCTAATGCCATTTATCATCCTAGCTGCTTTTCGGTGTACTCTCCCCAACCTATTGATTTATATATATATATATATATATATATATATATATATATATATATATATATATATGGAAGCAGCGGGGCTAAGTCTGTATACAGTACTCTAGGTGTGGTCTAACATAAGCTAACTAAGGCTTTTTGACAGCATTCCTACTCTTGTAATGTACATTCCTGTTCATAAGTCCCAGCACCCGAAGCGCCCTGCTCCTAGCAGCGCCACATTGCTTTCTAACCTTTAAATCTCTGAAAATTATAACCCCTAAGTCCTTTTCGCCCTTGATCTGGTCCAACTCTTGTCCTCCCATCTTACAGTTAATGCCCTCACCGCCGAAACTACCTAAGTGCATCGCATAACACTTATCATAAATAAATGACATTTGCCACATAGAAGCCCAGTTCACTAGTTTATCTAAATCAAGTTTCAGCTGATCTGCATTTTTTGATACCGCCATCAGTTCAATGTCGTCAGCAAATATAAACACCTTACTTTCTAATCCTACCCCAAAATTATTCACGAAAATAATAAAGAGCAAAGGACCCAACAACGATCCCTTTGCAACCTCGTTATCTACTAGCTCCCACAGAGATCTAGTACCACTGAGCACCACTCTTTGCTTCCTGTGTTGCAGCCCAGCCCCTACCAAGCCAATAATTTTTCCTCCAATGCCATGCAATTTTAAATGCTACACGGTATGATACCGTATTAAACACTTAACTAAAATTTAGATAAACAACATCTAAACTATTACCTTTGTCTACCTGGCCAGTAACATGCTCCATGAACTCCAGAATATTTGCCAAGCAGGATCTACGAGAAAGAATACCATACTGGCTACTATTTATCAAAGTCAAATGCTAGCCTCAATGAATTTTTCTAAGATCTTGCATACTAGTGAAGCAAGACTGACAGGCCTGTAGTTGCTGACACTCTTTTTGGTCCCCTTGTTAAATATCGATACCAGAATAACATTGGGCCATTCCGCAGGTACTTCTGAAAAACTCAATGACCTATTAAATATTAGCATAATAGGATATCCTAAGGTACTAGCACATGCAATTAGCGCTTTACCATGTATCTAGTCAGGTCCGGCCGCCTTATTAGCCTTGATTCCCTTCAAGCTATACCTTGCCATACCCTCGGTCACCGTCAGATCTGCAAAACAGTCTTCTGTCAGATTTCGACTATAACCAGGGAGATAAAAAAGGACTTCTATGTAAAAGCCGAAAAAACTGCCTGCAAAGAGCATCTACAATATTCCTTGTCCTCCAGCAATGATTTTCCACCTTCCTCAAGGGGGCCAAGAGCGGATCCTTTAGATTTGAATTTTCAGTAGCCAGGAAATGTCTTAATAGCACCAAAGCGAATGCCTGCTAGCCTTATTTCTGATTATCTTTCTGCTTTCTCAATTTTCTTCTTTACCTCTTTTGTGGCAACCTTACGCGCTGTCTTGCTGCGTTCTGCGCCCTCCACTTTTTGCATATCATATGCTGCCTTCTTCACTGCCATCAAATTCCGCGCTGTCTGCGTCAGTCATGGGGGCTTTCTTGAGCTAATTTCTCGTTTTTCCTGCAGGGAATAAACACTTTCTATCCTTCTAAAACATCATTGAACACTTCCCACATTTAGCGTGCAGTGAGTCCAGTTAGAGAATGTTCTCACTGGAAGCTAGCAAGAAAAGCTGGACTTCTTTAAATTTACCCCTGGCCAAATTTGGAATAAGAGTATTATTCGGTTTGCCTAAATGGCCTAGATGTAATGAAAACCTTGCAATACTATGGTCACTATTTCTTAGCATCTCGCCTGCTGTCAACGTACCTACAAGCCCTTCCCCTTCAGTCATAGCAAGATTAACAATTTTATTTCCGCTAGTCGGTTTGCACACCAGCTACTGGCAAAATTTCTTCAAAGCATGCAAAATATTTTCGTGACAATTCAACAATTGGCCAAGATCCACGTTCTAGCCTGGAATGTTAAAATCTCTTACGACCACACATTTTCCATTCACACTTCGGCCGATTTCTTCACCTAAATCTGTGTCCACATCCTGACAACTATTTGGAGACCTACAGAAACTTCCAGCACGTAAATTATTGCCCTTCGGCGTAATCACATTAATCCAAAGGGACTCTACACTATCGCTTTTCTTCATGCTATCTACACTTCAACATTTCATGTTCTGTCTTACATAGACTAGTATTCCACCGTCCTTTTTTCGCTTTTCTATGAAAAGTAAACGTGTTCTTCCCAGACACTTTAAATTCTTGTAAACTGTCCCCTAAAAATGTGCTCACTGATCCTAGATTCAGTAATAGCTACCAGGTCTCATTTTTCTTCAAGCATATGAACACGGAGCTCATCGAACTCGTTCCTGATACTAGTTGCATTTGCATTGAGGCACCTAAGTTTCCCTACGCTGCTTTTTGGCTCACCGTTCCGCAAATATCCGTTTGCATTCCCTATGTGTTCCATGTTCACCCTCCTATCACCATCACCTAGCTTCCCTGAAAACATGTTCATTCACCCTGCTCAGGACTTGCACACCTTTCCCAGAGAAATGGAGTCCTTCCATCTGATACAGGTCTCTAGAGTTAAAGAAACCTGTTCCACTCATTTACAAACATGAGGCAAAACTCCTCACAAACTTTATCTACTCTAGCGTTGGCTGCTAGCGCCCAGAAACTCCAGTCAGGAGGCCTAAAACTACGGAACCCTAAGCTCTTTGCGCACTTCTTAACATGCTTTTTTGACAAAGATGACTCTTATGAGCTCGTTTCCAATCGGAGAACTAGACTATCCCTGATCCATCATACTTACCAAAATAGGGGTTCTTTCATATTTTTTTGGGGGGGTGGACTTCATATGCACCCTCAGTAGCCGAAATGGAACCTAGGACGATAATGGATTGCGATTCCAAAGCATGGACCCACATTTTATTCTGCTTGTAGCATTGATGCAGTTCTGCCTCATTCAACCCGCCTGATGAAGGTTTCCGCTGAAACCAAGACATTTTAATTTCACAAGTTGGCTATAACTTACACAGCATGACAATCGACGTCAGTGATGGCCCAACGTCGCGTTGGAGAGTCCAAAACAATCCTCAATGTTTGTCATTGGGTCTGTTGCAGAGGATGGACACAAACCGGGACGGTGTAGTGACCCTGGACGAGTTCCTCGACTTCTGCTCGTCCGACCAGACAGTGCTGCACTCGCTCTCACAGCTCACCACCGTACTATGAGTGCCGGTTGATCGTGCCGGGTCACGTGGCCTGACGGTGCTGCATTCGCTCTCACAGCTCACCACCGTGTTGTGAGTGCCGGCTGGCGGGGCCAGTTCACGTGACCAGACGGTGCTGCATTCGCTCTCACAGCTCACCACCGTGTTGTGAGTGCCGGCTGGCGGGGCCAGGTCACGTGACCAGACGGTGTTGCACTCGCTCTCACAGATCACCACCATGCTAAGAGCGCCGGCCGGGCGGGCCGGGTCATGTGACCAGACGTGGTATCACTGCCGGCCCCCTGATGCCGTGCCGCTTCCGCCGCCACCGCTTCGTGACTTCACGAACCAGGTCGCGCAGCGTCACACGCACTGAGGGACGTCACGGCTTTAGCCGCTTCCGGACGCGCCGCAACAGCGGGAGAGCCACGCGGCCAACACGAGAACGTGCGGCTGTGGCGGCCGGTGGCGCGGCCGGGCCGTGCCACCGGCCGCTTGGCCCTGGTGGGCGCGCCGCGGATCTCCGACGGGCCGCTCGCTCGCCGTCGCTCTGGCCAGCCAGGCGCCGTGCCGTTCTCCGCCAGGCGGACCAGGAGTCGTGTCGTTCGTGTCGTTCGTAACTGAAGCCCGCCGGACGCCTCTCCAGCCGACGGCGCCGGCGCGTTTGCGTCCTTTGCCCGCGGAAATAAAGATATATCAACGCTGAATGTAACCGGCGCGCTGAGCAGAGGAAATGCGTCATTTGCCGATCCAGGGTGTTTTTTTTTGCCGCGCCTGGCGTCCGGGTCGGAGAGGAAAACTGGCCCCGGGATAATGAGGACGGATCAGCGTGTCGTCCACGTAGGCCCCTGGCGTATCTACCACTTGGAGTGCGCTCACCAGGGAAATCCGAATGCGGATCTGCTAAGTGTGATCGAGCGTCGGCACTGTCGGTGCGGACGCTGAAGCGCCGCTATCATATGTCTCTCGCATGTGGACTCTGCGAAGGTCTCGTCTGCTTCACATCCACTTTGGCAGGGTCTCGTGCGTATATTCTGCCATGTGTTTCATGGTATCATTTCAATAATGTACTGCCTGTCTCACGAGTGTTTGTATGATCGGTGCTTATTGGACCTGGTCTTTGTTCATCGGAGCCTAATGTGATGCTATGAGGCAAGGCTCTGTGTGAGTGGAGCAATTCCAGACAAATACTTAATATACATACTTAGGCGTTCATCAATTTTGTTTAACGTTTTAACGAGTGACAGGCGGACCGAGATGCTGAGCCGTGCTCATGCATCTATAACACCCTATGCCTGGAGACACTTACCTTGAGGCATTTTCTCTACGCGATGAATTAGGAATAACATGCCTGCATGCAATGTAGCGGCTTCGCTTTGGGAGCTAAATTGAAGGATGTCATTAAATAAACCACTTCACCTTCGGCTATGTCCGCCCGTTGTATTCGTTGTCAGGCTTTTCGGGTCGCCAGCACATCAGTAACGACAGCCCCCACCGCCGGCCGGACAGCAGTCTTTACGTATAGAAGGTCTCTCAGCGTGATCCGTGCTGTTCCGGCATGGTGGCTCTCCGCTACAATGTTAGCTCGTCAATGACCGGGGAGCATGAAGCAGCTGGGAGTTGCGAATATGATCCCGGGCATGTGGGCAAATAGCAAGAGCCTTTTGCACGCACGGCGCGCGAGCCCTCTCTTGAAAGGGAAAGAATCTCTCGCACATTCCTCATGTGAGGACAAAGGATGAGCTTCTGAAAGCAGGAAGTCAGGAGGGGCACATCAGTATTATGTGCATTCAGTTCTTCGACGTTCCAGAGCACTTCTCTGTTCAATGCTAAAATATATACACAAACAAAAAAGTTTGGGGAGCGGGTGCTAATAAGAACACCGAGACCAGCATGAAGAAATTGCACACTTGGGTTCCTGCATTGGGCACGTCAGACTGTTGTTGATACGGTTTGGTTTGGGTTTGGTTTGGATTGGAGCTCCGGTCCTGGAAGCCTGCTGCCTGGAGCACGTGCAGTGCGGTTTGGTCCGAGACCTGACGATTGCATCCCTCAATAGTGGCTCTGATCGAAGTACCTTTCACCTGGTAGATCCGGTGGCTGCATAGCCTTGGATGCCCCATCTGCACTGCCGGACATGTTCTGAGCTTAGACGCCCCATCTGCACTACCGGACATGCTCTGAGCTCGGATGCCCCATCTCCACTGCTGTACATGCTCTGAGCTTGGATGCCCTCATCTCCACTGCCGGACATGCTCTGAGCTTGATGCCCCATCTCCGCTGCCCAGCATGCTCTGAGCTTGGACGCCCCATCTGCGCTACCGGACATGCTCTGAGCTTGGATGCCCCATCTCCACTGCCGGACATGCTCTGAGCTTGGATGCCCCATCTCCACTGCTGGACATTCCCTGTGCTTTCTGTTTCGACAGTACGGGCGTAGCGGGTTTGCCACCTAGCGTGATACTTGCCCAATCGATTTTAGTGATTTCCAACTGTAACTGTGGACTTTACGGCCACTCGTTCCATGGGCCGACATGGGACCAATGCCGAGATCTGAAATTGTTGAGAAACCCACCGCTCAAAGAGACACGCCTGGTCCCGACCCTCATCCACATTGACCCAGAGAAGGGGGCACACGGGTGTGTCCTGCGCCGCGTAGACAAGGCGTCGTGTTTCCAATGGCATGAGCGGTGTTGGAGCTGGAGCTATCGGACGGGCGTGCCCGTCAAGGTTCCCGTCGGTGTCTATATAATAAAGATGAGTCTCATGTGCATGCCGGACAAAATACATCCTTGCTCTGCTCTGTGCGAGAGTCAACTCTTACCGCGCCGAGGTCTTCGATGGCCTGCTGTGGACTCGAGCATTACTAGCTTACTGATGTCAATAGCTCCAACTTCCTTTCACATTGAACTTTACCGGTCGGCAGCGCTAGCGCGGCAGGCTCGACAGCACCAATGAGGGCTTCCAAAGGGCGGGGCAGGGGCGTGTCACCCGTCCGGTGCGCGTTCGCACTAAATTTGACCCTGGAGCACCTGGCTGCACATCTAAGCAATCAATGGAACGGACAGCCGGTTGGTCGGACCGGTCCTGGAAGCCTGCTGCCTGGAGCACGTGCAGAGATCCGGTCCTGGGAGCCGGCTGCCTGGAGCACGTGCAGAGATCCGGTCCTGGAAGCATACTACCTGGAGCACGTACAGAGATCCGGTCGGCGTCGAGATCCGGTCGGCCACTGACAGGACCAGATTGGACTGCGGCTGGAGCAGAGAGGGCGGCCGGCTGCCTCCCACCGTAGTGCAAATGTCAGCCCGCACTGCGGCGACAGGGCTCGGTAGACCAGGCCAAGGCTTCCTAACGGTCAGGTTGGGACGGGCTCCGTACAAACCGGCTCCCTGTGGTACGAAGGAGTATTAGAAATGGATGGAAACGTGGAGCGTGGGCGCGTTAAGCACTACCACGCGCGTGTGGCCGGCTCGGGTTGAGTGTGTGTGGGGAGGGGGGGGGGGGGTTATTTGATCCCCTGAGATCTCAAGAACTAAAAGATCTAGAACCACCAAATTCAATGGTAGGTAGAACTGTATGTAAACTCAATTAGCTCAAGTTAGGGTATTTAAGGCCTTAAGGTCGGTAAATAAGTACAAACTTTAGATCAATGCTCAAAGTGCACTCAGTCTTTCTCACGCAACCAACCTCAACCCCGATACCTCTCCTAAGCAAAATTTTACGTATGTGTGTGATAGCTCAGGGACCTTAATTGATCTCAAGGAGGTCAAGATGGTCAGAAGCCTTAGAGCATTATGGGACATTTTAATTTAATTCAGTGTCAAGGTCTACGGTAGACAGTATTTTCCTCAGCAGAAAAGGCTGATCGGGTCCACTTAAGATAAGTGACCTCTTCTGAGCTTATAAAGTCCAAGTGAGATCTCTAGTGACGTCCATGCGTTCCAAGGATTCGAAATCAGCGTTTTTAAGTACCCATAAAGCAGGTTTTCCAGCAAAAGGCGATTCGGTTTTGGCCCTGGTCTAATCTTTATATCTGACCAAACGTAAATGGAATTAGTTGCGATCCTTAACACGCGCTCCGATGGGGGGTCAAATTGACCCCCTCCAAAGGTTTTCCAGAATGGTTTTCGAACGGTGCAACGTAGCCGCGCCAAATTTGCATAGCTGTTCAAATTGAATAGCGGATCGTTTGGTTAGATGTAACTTGTAAGGTCATTGACCTATGGCAGGTTCAAGTCAGGTCATGGTTTCAGCAAAGTCAATTTCTAGGGAATCGTTCAATCTGATACAACAACGGAGTGTTTGACAAAGCTATACATCTCTGAGATATTTTATTAGGCAACGCAAGCATTAAATGAGCAAATTAAGTTGATCTAAGGTCAGGTATGAAGGTCAGACCAACGTCAAAACCAACCTGTTTTATTGCTCTAGGGCTTGCTGTATGGGGTATTTCCGGTGCCCATTCTGAATTCATTAATGGCAGGAACCGCACCATGCATCTTCAGTTGACTTCCCAGAGGTCACAATAGGTCATTCACTTAAGATGACGCAGGTCGACAGTTCTTAAAGCACATACTGCCAAGCGTAATCTTTGTCTCTTATTCAAACGCAAAACTCAGGACAGTTTTGCATTATTTTGATCACCATGACCTTCAAAAGGCCAAGCAAGGTCACTTACCTTAAATGAGCATGTGACCTTTTGCTTAAAAACAGTTATCTAGATTCTGGGGGCACTTAAGATGCCAACCTGAAATTTGACCTTGTTTGACCTTATTTGACCCAAAGGTCATAATCTAGTGACTTCAAACTTTGACCCAACTAAGTTCACGTACAGGTCAACACACCCTGCAAATTTGGTGCCTCCAGCTTTCTTAGTTCCCGAGATCTTAGTGGGGTGGTCAAATTGACCCCTCACCCGAGCGAAGTGTATCTAGCCGGCCACCCGGGCGCGTGTTAATAAAGAAATATAATTGCCTAAGAATTCATCTCAAAGGTGTATGGTTTCGTCTAACACTCAATTGT